TCACAGCAGATGAGTTCATTTTCCATATAAAAATATGAATAAGCACACCTCTTCTCAATATTGCTTCAAGCTAGTAATTAAAGACTGAGGCACATGATTTTAACAAACAGTAGCATAAGTTTCAACAATCATCAGATAATCACATTTAATCTACAGTGCGTTTCTTTACCAGCTGCTGAGCGAGTGATGCATATTTATATCTGATCCAGTGGTTACCCTCTTCCAGTTCCACTGTGTTGAGGTATTTCTTTTAAAGCCTACATGCAGCTAAAACTGTGTTTGACTGTTTCACTGTGTTTGATGTAAAAACGTTTATCACCTAATGTGACGTTCAGGAGGGATCATCCCAGTTTGGCACAGTCAACGGGCGGCTGAGACTGTAAATTATTTTATTTCCCAGTGGAACCACAACCCCCCTACTCAGCCAGCTGTAGATATGATCCTGAACGGAGAAGTTTGGTTTCTTTGCAGAACAGTTCTGCAGTCAGTATCTTACCTGCAGTAGACAGCGATCAGTTGAATTACTAAGAGCAGGACCCATTTACGAACAAATGTTCAGCTTCAGCTGTAAACTTCTCTTCTTAAAACAGATGCTATATGTTTATTTACCACGTCACTTTTGTACAAGGCGGCTACTGACGATTTTGTTGTCTCAATCAAATGCAGTGAGGAACCCTCTGGGCCTTCTATACATTCAGAGAAGGCCTAACAATTTAGCACATGTGAAATGTTAAATTTAACTTTTTTACGATTTTATTTGCAATGTATATTTTCAATGTTGCAAAAAGGTCAAAAGAAAAGTTTACAAGACAGTATAGTGAGACCAGTTATGTTGTATGGTCTGGAGACAGTGGCATTGACAAAAAGACAGGAGAAAGAACTGGAAGTGTCAGAAATGAAGATGTTGAGGTTCTCCTGAGGAGCGACAAGTATGGAGAAGATCAGGAATGAGATCATTAGAGGTACAGCACTGGTTGAACAACTGGGAGATAAAGTTAGAGTCCAGACTGAGATGGTTTGGACATGTCCAGAGGAGGAACAGTGGGTATACTGGTAGAAGGATGTTAGAAATGCAGCTGCTGGGAAAAAGACAAAGAGGAGATATATGGATGCAGTTAGAGAGGACATGGAGGTAGTTGGAGTGAGAACAGAGGATGCAGAGGACAGAGATGGAGGATGACTCGCCAAAAGAAGATTTTCAATGTAGTCGTTCTTACTTTTGCTAATTTCTTTGATTTTCTGTAAACTATTTTTGAGTTGAGCAAGAAAATTTTTAATTAAAGAAAATGCAGTTATCCAATCAGATTCTTTTAACTTTTTGTCTCCAGGTAAAAAATATGTTTGAAGCTTCTTTCTCATCAGTCAAAGTCTCTGCAGGAGGAGTTTGTTTAATGACTGACAGGAAAATTAACTAATCACAGTGTTGATGTAGAGTGGATGGGACCAATACACAGGACTCTGAGAATTTGGAAAGGCCCTGCACGGTTTTATATATATATAAATATATATATATACATATATATATATATATATAAATATATATATATATATATATATATATAATTCATTTATTTTGACCAAGTGACGGTTTGTGATGCATTGAAATGCAATTTGTAAGTAAAGAAAGCTGCTCTAAAAAGTGAAAGTTCAACGTCTCATTTAGGATTCACCATAATTCTAACATCATTATTGAAATTACATGTTGTACTTGAATGAATGAGACTGTGAAAGCCACAAGAATGAATGACTGGCACCCATTAGTAGAAGTGTTTGCATGTGTGTCAGCGAGAAGGACACCCCGGTTCAAATCCCGGACAGGGGCCTTTCTGGGTGGAGTTTGCGTGTTCTCTCCGTGCATGCGTGGGTTTTCTCCAGATACTCCAGTTTCCTCCCACAGACCAAAAACATGCATGTTAGGCTGATTGGTAACCCTAAATTGTCCCTAGGTGTGAGTGAGAGAGTGAATGGTTGTTTGTCTCATTTGTCTATGTGTCCATGTGATGGACTGGATACCTGTCCAGGGTGTCCCCCGCCTCTCGCACAGTCATGGCTGGACATGGGCACCAGTGACCCCTGCGACCCGACAAGGAAGAAGCAGGTAAAGATAATGGATGGATAGATGTTTATGTCCATGTTTTTGGAGGACAAACTAGAAGTGAAGATGCCACAGCAACATAAAACAAATTATATTAATCAGAACCAAAAGTGGTAAAGAAAGCTCATTTGGGATGTTTGTATAAGTAGATTTAAACAAAAAGATTAACTAACAGCAGGAATGGCATTAGCCTGAGCTCCAAGCTTGATCGCAAAATAATTTATCTTTAATTCTCCAAACTGAGCTACTGTTAACTGTTGTCTACTGCAGGTGAGACACTGACTACTCATGAGTACTCCATACTCCAGTTACAGAAAAACTACCCCCCTCACACACACACACTTGCAAACATTCAGTTGGTTTACTGTGTAAATGCTCGCAATTTTCTTTAGTGCAGAACAATTGGTAAGGACTTAGGTCACAAATTCAGAACTCACTAAAAAAAGTGAGGAAGAAACAAAAATAAAAGGGACACATTCATGAAGATGCTTTTCTAAAAGATAGCGTCGGACAGCGTTTAATAGACTCCCACTAATCCAAAGCCTTAGCCAGAGTTAGCCTGATGGAATTAGTATGACGTCAACAAGGTTTACGGTTAACTTAAGATCTGAAAATGCGAGTTAGTACATTAAAACCTGAATTTCTAAAAGCATGTCGGCATTCAAGCACCTTGTCTAAAGTCTGGCTTGTGTTGCACATGCTCATAATATGTAGATTATTTGTTAACAAGCAGCATTTATGGTTTTCATTTAATTTTTTATTTAATTTTTTTTTTTTTGTAGGGACTGGGGAACTGTTTAATGGGATTGTCTATCATTTCGGTTCAATTGCTTATTGCATTGTTTCAGTTTGCTGAGTTTTAAAATCTGTTTGCGGTGTTTCACCGACAGCTCGGATGCATGAACAGGCACTAGTGTTTATTCCAAGCAGTAATGAGGAGCAAGATGAAGTACTGAGCTGAATCCAATATTATTGTTGAGTTGGAACTACTTTAACCTCTCTGTTTTTACTCATGCCTTTAGACAGAAAAAAAAAGATCTATTGATTGAAAAAATATGTGCGTCTTCAGCCCAGTTGTAATAACATTGCATTTTTATTGGTTAATATAAGTCGATGTTTGATGAAAACTAAGTAAATCTGAGCCGACGGTGATAAATGACACACAGCTTTCTGTTTTACTTATTTTCTAACATCTTGTGCACATAAACTAAATCATCTCTTCAACTGTTATTTTGTGTGGAGCTTGTGAAAATTTTTGGAAACGAGCAATTATAAACTGACCTTCAGTCCACATGGAACCACTGTTTTTCGAAAATGTTCTTTTATTTTTTCATTTTATATTGTTTTTCCCTTTTTTTGTAATGTTTTTAATTTACCAAAAATAAAGTTGAGTTCAGTTGAGTTAATTTGTGGTTTCTGAAAATATCCCTGTAAATGTGCCACTGTTTCAAGAAACATCTTGGTCCACATGGAAACAATAAAAATGACCCACCAGGCTTCAGTAACTATGCCAGGCCAGTATGTGGCGCTGTAACGCTGCCATGAAAATACAGTAAAAACAGGAAACCACACGCACGAGCATAAAGCGCAAAAAGAAGAAGCCTTCAGGTTGTGGGTTGGATTATGTTGTCATTGTTTTCAAAGGTTGCGTTTCGGGCATTGACACTAAATTTTAATGGAGGCGTTTAAAGTTATTTTCTCTATAGAATCCATTTAAAAAATGGTTTGGTCCGTTTACAAGTGAAACGCTACAAAACATTTGTGTTTTCATGACAGGACCTTAAGAAGCTGTACTCTCTTTGAAGTAATTGTTTTAATTTTAATTTTTTTTTACAGCTTTTGCTGAAACTTGTTTGTGATAAATTGTCCAACGATCAAAAAATTCCTTTCTTTGTAGTTGTTTTATGGTCGTCCTTCAGACACTTGGCTGCATTACTGGTCTTCATACCTGTCTGATAATAAAGCAATAGTTAGATCTTTTAAAATGAAGTTCTGTAGAAAGTAATGAATAAACATCTAACCTGCTGTAGAAAGCTCTTTGAAAACACTCAAGAAAAGTTTTACTGACTAGACTCACGAGGTAAAGGCTACTCAGAACATAGCCAGCACCCAAGTGGGATGATCCCATTTTAAATCAACTTTAACTAAAAGAAATACATTTGTGTGAAAACTACTTACAAATTTATATGCTGCTCTCATTACACAGTTATGTACATTGAACTCTATAATTATTTGCAAATGCAAGTGTTGACAGGAACATCATATTTCAGCCAAAGTGCCCAAAATTTCAAAAAATTATGATGGTTTTAAGGTTTAAAAAACAAAACATTTGCTTAAACCACTTTTGCATTTTTTAAATGAGTTGTTTTATGACAACAGCAAACCTGTTTGGTCATGACTCCATGCAGACAAGTTTTTAGCTCACCAATTTGTTTAGGAGTAAGCTTTCTTTCTCCAAACTAAGATTGCCCAGAGAGTTATCTACAACGTGTAAGATACTAAATGTTCATAATGTTTCCACAGAAATCCCCGTCAAAAGATCTGAACTATGGCTTTAAGCTCATTTTGCTCAATATTCTGAATACATTTTAGTTGAAATTTTAATGTAGATGCAATGCAGAGGCCTTGTGGGCCATTTTGACCCAAGGGCAGCAGGAGGGTTAAGGTGCGTTTAGAATATGTGCACATTTTGAATATTAATGTAAGCACTTATAACTGTGTGTCATCTGCACCGTTACCACTCAGAGCACATTTTGTTATAGTTGTGTGCAAATGTATTTTTTCCAAGATGAATATTGTAGCTGGAGTTATTTCGTTAAAGAGAATGAATTGCGTGCAACGTACAAATATGCAAATATCATAGAAATCGAAGTGCTCAAATTGTTTTGCATACTGTTCCTCCGTCTCATTTCTTTTTTGGTGTTGGCTTTGAATCAGCTTTGGATCCTGAGACGCCGTTTTCTGTGTTGTCGATCCCTGATGACGTTACAAGGCACTCCTTACTGCAGAGGGGGAACAAAACATGGAAGACGTGTTAAAACACAGCAGCTCAAAGCACGTGTCAAAATTACAGCTTAAAAAAACTCAGTCAATACCCAGCTGTACAATATTTGTTAAAAGTGTGGTGATGACTCACTTTTTCTCCTCAAGTTTAGCGAGTACAAAGAGAGTGAAGTTCTTGAGCAGCATGAAGCCTATCAGAAAGGCGATGGCCCCGCCCACAGCTGAGGCTATAATGATGGTTAGCGTGTTGTCAACCACCCTCACTGCAAACATGAGCAGAGAACCAGAGGAGAAACGTGAAGCATATAAAGCTTTTTGGAAACCTCTTCATGTTTTTATGACGAGCCAAGAGACCCTAAAGAGATGGTTCAAATATTTTGCAGTGGAGTTCTGCATAAATGTTATAAACTGTTAGTATCTTACCTGTTGTAGATAGACATGAAACCAAGTTTAGTTCTTACTGAACCATTGAGGTAACGACTAGTCTGAGCTGAGGAAGACGAAAAGTGAATTGCTGCCATCATAGGCATCACATCAAGTATATGTGAAGGTGATGTGTCCCCCTCACAGTGAATAAAAATATTCATTTGGAGGGGAAGGCACCTGTGTTGAGAACTAGCTTGGCACTATGTTAGTGCCCACAGTTGCTGACCTGGGGGAGGGGAGGAGGCTAAGTTGCGCGAGAGAAGCGGAGCGTGCTCTATATTCACACAAGGAGAGCTGTTGGTCAGGCTACTTTTTGTTGTGTTGTGCTCTGTAAAATAGTTATTGAATCAAGTGGTTTCTTGTGTAGGTCAATGTAGATGTTTAACAACCCGTTAAAATACACCAGAATGCAGGAAATGGCATCTACTTTATTCAAAATGTACTGGGGGAGGGCCCCCAGATGCCCTCACCAGTGTGTCCCTTCATATTACAATTGCTTCTGACGCCAATGGCCATCCTCAAACTAAAAATTTTCATGATGATTAAAACAATTTTTTTAAATTTTATTTTTATCTTTACATCACCATTAAATTAACATGAGTTATGTTGACAGAAATATGATATTTCTACAGGAAGTGCTCCAGGTTGCACTGAAAGTGCTACAGCTAGCTGCTGCTTCTATTTGTGCTTGCTTAAAACCATAAAACTTAGTGTAAATAACCATTTTTATGAAAATTTCTGGGGTAGATCCTCAGTGATCCAGAACATGGAAAATCCTAAAAGTTTATGACCAAAGCATCTGGACTTTTATTCTGTAGTAGAAGTTTTGCTTCCAGACTGAGCATCTCACGCAGTTTAAAGCTTGGCCTCCAGAAGGTTATCTACTACAGAAAAGCATTTCAGTTACTTTGATTTAAAACTTTTTGTATTTTGTGCAAAACGGGGGTTTGAAGGTTTTTAAAATAGCGTTCACTTGAATTGTTATGAAACTTTTTTTAACCTGGATTATAATATCTATCTATCTATCTATCTATCTATCTATCTATCTATCTATCTATCTATCTATCTATCTATCTATCTATCTATCTATCTATCTATCTATCTATCTATCTATCTATCTATCTATCTATCT